TTATTAAAGGGACGACAACATTATGCACACACATACTTACCTACTTACTGACTTACGTACTTACTTGATTAAATTCGTACATACATGCACACCTACACACACACACGCATACACACGTATACACACGCATACACGCGCATGTCACATACATACATACATACATAAATACATACATACATACATACATACATACATACATACATAAATATCTATCTGTATATATATATATATTTATATGTAGATACACACACACACACACGCACATACATACATTTCTATATATATACATATATGTTGTATACACATAGACTAGACTTTACCACAAAGCTTTATTCAGTTTATTCAGACTCCGTAAACCTGAAGGCTACACCATAAGTTAAACACGTAGAGGGACCCATCGATGGACCCATAGGGGCCAAAGTACCAAACGTGTTTAGAACCCTCGTAGAACTCTAAAACCCTAAACCCTAAATCATAAAGGGGCCCTTCAAAAAACAAAGGAACCCTTAAGACCAAAGTACCAAACTATGCTGGAACCTTGAAACGACCCCTCAAACCCTAAACCCGAAACCCTAAACCCTAAACCCCTCATAGCTTCAAGCAACCAGGGCTCCGACTCCTGTGGGTGGAATCTCGCTTGCCTGGGATCCGCCTGCGGCTCTTCGGTGCCCCGGCATGGGTTCAGGGGTGTCGGTTTAGGGGTTTAAGGGTTCAGGGGTTTAAGGGTTTGGGGGGTTTAGGGGTTTAGGGGTTTAGGGCTTAGGGGTTTAGGGGTTTAGGGATTAGGGGTCAGGGTTTAGGGCTTTCGGGTTTGAGGGGTTTAAGGGTTCAGGGGTTTATGGGTTTCGGTTTAGGGGTTTAGGGGTTTACGGGTTCAGGGGTTTCGGTTTAGGGGTTTACGGGTTCAGGGGTTTCGGTTTAGGGGTTTAAGGGTTCAGGGGTTTAAGGGTTTAGGGGTTTAGGGGTTTAAGGGTTTGGGGGGTTTAGGGGTTTAGGGATTAGGGGTCAGGGTTTAGAGCTTTCGGGTTTCAGGGTTATGTATGGGTTTAGGGTTTAGGGCGCCTAGCCGGAAGAACCCCCCTAGTACCCCCTTAAAACCCCATAGGCCCTGAACCTCGAAGCCTTAGACCGTGCAAGAGTTCAACACCTCAAGTCACCAACCCGAGATTCTATACCTTTTACCCATGGTGCACTATGTCAGTCTTGGTCTCCGGAATTCGAAAATAGTTGATCGTGGGTCCCTGGAGAGACAAGGAGCCTTCCCCAAAGCCGAAACCCATGGACGTAGCTCGGAATTTCGCTTGGTTAAACGAGCAGGCGGAAAGTTTAGGATCTGGGACTTTCCGAGACTTTGGGTTTAGGGTTTCTTAGGGTACCTTATTTTGGGGTCCTTATACTAAGCAACCTATTATTTAGTGTATTATATTACGGTCCCCTATTTAAAAAAAAACCCTCATCTGGGGTCTAGGGCGAGGGTCTCTAGGCCTACGGCTGAAAGGGTTTAGGGGCTCGTCTTCGAGTGTGAGTGGGGGCTACGGAATGCAGCGCTGTCGTATGGCAGCTAGCTAGGAATTAGCACACGTTATAGTCCCTTTAAGCCGACAAAAGCCCTGAACTCAGCACCCTGAAACCCAAACCCTGAATCACAAGAAACCCTCCATGCTGCTTCTTGCAATCCTTGCGCGCTTTGGAAGCCTCATTCCTGACCTTTTGGCTACTGCTCCGGCTTGGGACAATCGAGTTGGTCTGGGGTTCATGAGTTTCACATTGAAGTACGCAACCGGAATCGCATGCTCCAGTGTTGTTGAGCACCCGAGGCTCCTGCATCGGAATCTTGGCTAAACTGGCGATTTTGGCAGGCTTGACACATGGAAGTTCAGTGACCGCTTTCGGTCTGGAGTGTGACTGTTGCAGCCGGCTGGGCAGTGTTTCGTGCACGTCTTAATCATAACCGCCCTGCCAGAAATGCTGAGCGGCAGCATGTAGTCCGATGATGTCCGATGTGCCAGAGACCGTAAATCATAGTTATACTCATCAAAGAGCCGCAACCCGAAGCCCCAAGGCACAGGAATCTGACAAAGTCCTCTTCTTTTAGGGAACTCGCTTGACGGCACTCAGACTCTTTAGTAATGGTGTTCAGAGCGATCGGGGCCAACCTTACACACCTTCACAAACGCTGGGTTTAGGGTTTAGGGTTTAGGGGTTTCCTCGTTCAAAAAGGGTTTAGGGTTTAGGGTTAGGCACGAATCCCGCAGCTTGAAACGCAGCCGTGCTTGCAAGCCCAGAGGCCGTACTTGGAGGATCATGGGCCTTATAGCAAGTCAGGCTATACGTGCCTGAATTTGTTTGTAGGTACTCCTTTGTATAAGAATTACCCTCGTCATAACCCTAGTCACTAAGTCCCTTGATCCGTTAAGTAACCGTAACACCCCCTTTACAGAACCATGATCCTTTACAGTAGCACCCTCTGAGCGGCAGGACTCAGCCGGAACGTTTCCCTATCTCAACTGCGAAAGCCGGGGTTCGGAACTAAGGAGGGGTTCGGGTTTAGGGTTTAGGGTTCAAGGTTTAGGGTTTCGGGTTAAGTCTATTTCCTAAAGCCATGAAGCCGTGAACCTGAAGCTCTGAACCGAAACGAGGCACCAGGGATCGTTGAAACCGAACTAATCCTAAATCCTAACCTAAACCCTTAACCTTCACGCTTATATAAGGAGGCGTGTGAGGTCAAGGCGCAGCGTCAGCTGGCGAGAGCAAACGAGGCGCGTCTTTGAGGGCGTGTGGTCAAGTGCCATTTTAATGTTTGGGGTACATTGTACTTAGGCTTGATCGTGTTGGGGTAAGACTCTAAAGTTTAGGTTGCAGTGTATAGTAACCATTGGGCAAATCTTCGTGGTGACCATGAGGGTCATCAGCGTCACAACGAACATGAGGACCACAATGCTCACTAGCATGCTTATTTGAACATAATTATCATGGTTATTACTGGTACTACGTTTCTTATTATTGGAGGAGCTAAGGTACCAAGACCTCCGTCAGCATGAGCAATGGTACAACCCTAATCCCTAAACCCTAAACCCTAAACCCCAATTCCCAAATCCCTAAAGCCTTGAAGACCAGTGGCTCCTGCCCTAAACCTTCTGGCCACCTTAGGCCCTAAGCTTTTTTGAAGGACCCAAGGCCCCAACTCCAAAAAATGGTTGTCTGGGAAGTCCGCACTCTGCGGCGGCATCAATCAAGGCAGAACGACTTTGGGCTTAGGGTGCCGGGAGCGCAGTAAGTTGGAGGGCAGCTCAGAGGCTAGCTGAGTGTAGCTTTTCTTACTCAACTGGAAGTCCCGAAACCCTAAACCCTATAAACCCTAAACCCTAAACCCTAAACCCTAAACCCTAAACCAACCAACCAACCTAAACCCTTTCGGGCTGGGAAGTTCAATGACTGAGGCTTTCGGTCAGGGCTCCTTGGCAATCTTCAGCGGTTTAGGGTTTAGGGTTTAGGGTTTTAGGGTTTAGGGTTTAGGGTTTAGGGTTTACACCTCGCCTTAATGCAGGATCCCAGGGGACAGGCCTTCGCCCGGCCCTGAGGTCTTGCGCAGAAGCAGTAGGTAACAATAGGTATACTGGTAATAAAAACTTCCAGAGCCGGATCCCTATAGAACCGCAAACCCTGACCCCGAAATGCCTAAACCCCTAAACCCCCAAACCCCTAAACCCCAACCCTCCCACCACCCTAAGCCCCAAAACCCGAAACCCCAAGACCCCAAAGACCCCAAGACCCCAAGACCCCAAGGACCCTAAACCCTAAACCCCTAAACCCTAAACCCTAAGCCCCAAACTACAAAGCCGAGCCCAAGAGTCAGGGCGATTTCGCCGATCCGGAGCGATCCTGGTCACCGCTTTGCCACTCGGTTTTCGGTTTTAGGGGTTTAGGGTTTAGGGTTTAGGGGTTAAGGGTTCAGGGGTTTAGGGGTTTAGGGGTTTAAGGTTTGAGGGGTTCAGGGGTTTAGGGGTTTAAGGGTGTAGGGGTTTAGGGGTTTCAGGGTTTAGGGGGTTCAGGGGTTCAAGGGTTTAGGGGTTTAGGGGTTTAAGGGTTTAGGGGTTCAAGGGTTTAGCGGTTTAGGGGTTTAGGGGTTCAAGGGTTTATAAGGGTTTAGGGGTTTAGGGTTTAGGGGTTAAGCCTTTCCTGTTTAGGGTTCAGGGTTTAGGCTTCGGGCTTTGGGGGTTGAGGGTTTGGAATAGTCTAGAGAACCCTGGTTTCAGGGTGCAGGGGTAGGATGTAGGGTTTGAGATTTAGTGCAGGGTTCAGGCTCCAGGGTTTATTTTCGAGGGTCGAGTTGGAAGGCAGGATTCAGGATTTGGGGGTTTAGGGTTTGGGGATTTGGGGCATCTAGCAACAATGGCAAAACTCATTATGAGTCGGGACCCGGGCACAAAAGAGTAATGTAACATTCCGAATAATTAAATAACAAATTTGAACGCCAACGGTACAGTTCCACAAAGATGGTATTGTTTTCCATACTGAATTAGTGCATGGTCTCCGGGTCTACAGTGCGGATAGCTGTTGAAATTCTCGTTCATGGCCTTCCACCCTCTCAGTACTATTGGGGCAGTTCTTTAACCCCCAGGTCGTAAAACAAAAAAGCCAGTCCGCTACGTTAGCTTACGCTGAGGTTTAGGGACCCTGAACCCTAAACCCTAAACCCCTAAACCCTTAAACCAATACCCCAGTCTTGAGTCGTCCCCAAACCTTAAGTGTTGACGCACCAGGCCTTGACGTTTTCAGCAGTGTTGTTACCCTAAGGGTCCAAAGGACCCAATAATTGGGTACTTAGGTTTATGATTATTAAGTACTCGGACCCGTAGGGTTACTACCCTGTGCACACTCCGGGCGTGGATTGCCCGGGGCCGTGCGAAGGAGTTTGTGCTTTCGCATCGTTTACGTAGAAGGTTATTACTGCACTACACATGAATTTGGGTGTGTGTACACATATACATATTATATATATATATATATACATATATATATATATAGACACGCACATTCAGTCAGCCAGACAGCCAGCCAGCGAGGAGTCAGTCAGTCAGTCGCCATTGGTTCAATCGTTCATTCATTCATTCGTTCGTCCATTCATTCATTCATTCATTCCTTCATTCATTCATTCATTCATTCATTCATTCATATTTCTTTCATTCGTGTTGTAAATGTGTGTATATATATATATATATATATATGTGTGTTTGCGGGTGTGTGTGTGTGTGTCTCTGTGAGAGGGTTTGAGTGAGAGTGTGCGTGTGTCAGTGTCTCTACCTCTGTCTTTGTGTTTGTGTCTGTGTGTAGAATACAAGCTATTCTACATATATAGAGGCTCGCACGTGTGTACGAAGACCAATCTGCATGCATGTATGAATGTAATGTAATGTAATGTAACGTAGCATATATGCATTCATGTATGTAGGTATGTATGTATGTAAGTATGTAGGTATGTAGGTGCATATGCATGTACCATGTTACCATGCGGCACGCATGCACGAACAAAGCTGAGAGATGTACCTATCCGTGCCTCGCATGCTTCAGGCCGAAAGCCCAGAGTTAGTATTTGCAAGAGTTAAGATGTCCACTCGTCGCCAGGCAATTCCAATGAGCCGCACTCGCCTCGAGCATTGGCAGACTTGAAAAAAGAGCTGGAGGATACCATCTACACGTTCCAGGCAGTGAACTTGACCCACAGGGTCTTTCCATTTTCTGGTTTCGGGCTTAGGAAACCCTAGTATCCAAACTCTGAACCCTGTTTGGGTTCTTTCACGATCCATCGCACACGGATCCCTTAAGGTGTAATTCTTGAGTTTAGTGCTTAAGGCTTGGATTTTCATTTTCGGATTTAAGGTTACGTCTTCGACTCAGAGCTTCAAGTGGTACTGGAACTTGCTTAGAAAAGCTCGGCAGCAGGGCCGGTCCAAAAGGAGGCATGTGCAGCTTGTGCGATCCGGCTCCTCGCAGAATCCTAAACGCAGTCTCTCGGGCGTTGTGGCCCCTGGTCCCTCTGGTAAAGGAACCGATGAGCAAAAACGGCCCAAGCCCTGCGAGATTGTCGTAGAGAAGTTCGGCAAGAAGCTCGGTTTGGCCTATGACGACTCCGATGGTGAGTGCCTGGTGATAAAGAACATCAACCCAGGCGTTCTGTACGAACCTTGCCGTGTCATTATCATGCAGGGACAGGAGGGTAATTTCGTTTCGGAACTCAAACAGTTCGATAAACGGCGACGGCTAATCTCGGTTTTGGTCAGGGTTCAGATTCTGGGGTTTTGGGGTCAGCGATTATTGCCGTCTGTGCTTATGGGCCTCACTGATTAACCTAATTCACCTTGGTCCATTCGAGTGTCGGCATTTCTTGATAAAACAGACCCTGCGATTGGCAGTATGGTTAGCATTGGTCCACTGTATGCATACGATAGCTGACTCCCCGCGCCGCTACATGCTCTGATGTCGAAGATCCATGACTTGATATAGGGGCCTAAATAATTACCAATACTATGTTGGGGGTTTCCTTATGATAGTTATAGTATAATCTACCCCAAACCCTATTCTAATTATTAAGGCCCCTACATTACGGTCGGGCGACTCTTCTTGTGCAACCCTTGGTTCATCCCGGCAGTCGAAACACAGGGAATGCGGAACCTAAATGAGCCGCCAAGCAGACTCTCCGCATGAGAAAAGCAAGCTTGCGAGATCCAGGGCCCGACACGACTGCAGCATCGGGGCACATGTGTAAGTATGAGAACCGTCCTTAAGGACGAAATGACCCTTAAAAGTAGGGGCCCTATACCCATATATTATGAATCCCTATATGGTATATATGAACCTTAAACCCTTTTAGGGTTCATTCCGTCCTTAAGGGTATGAGTCTGCCAACGCAGACAGAGGGAGAGAGCGAGAGAGGGCAGCTCCCCACCACGGTAGAAAGAGAACGTGTTTCGCGTAAACGTGTCCCCAAACCCCAAACCCCAATCCCGAACCCTGACTATTTCTGCTCAAGGTGGTTCTATTGTAGAAGCGCCGCCTAGGGGCCTGCGATTGGAAAAGTTCGCTTGTCATGCTCTTCAAGTACTTGCTCACCGGCGCGGTTGGCTTGACTGCGATCCTCCTCAAAGGATGCGGAGATGCTGTGTACGACACTCTTGAAGAAGCCCAGGCTGCAGTTTGCGGAGGGTCACAATGCAAGGGCTTCTGCAACTGCTGTGTAGCAGGCTACATTGGATCCATGGAGTCCCGAAGCAAAAAAAGGCTACTTTGGAAACATTAGCAAGGTAAAGGGTTCAGCTATCAGGGAGGTCGCAGAGGAAGAGAGCCGCCAACATTCCAACTTCGGCTTCTGCGGTTACCAATTCGACACGAAACCTGGCTCGGAGCTTGGGTATCCTTGTCGGCAGGATACGGGTACTGTCGAAGAGTGGTGTGATGATGTGACCACAACCACTGGCGCTTAACCCTGGCTTCCTTGAACGTCGGCTTCCTTGATGTCTTCGTCCTCGACCTATGTCGGTTTCACCGTGCTTTCCGGAAGACGGAAAGAGCTTCGCAGCAACTTGCTCGGAACTGAATCCTTGCATTATTCAGGCTTGTGCCCTCATCCTGGTTCTGCCGATGCCGGCATTCAGCACCTGCTGGGCGAGAGGAAAAGGACAAGCCAGGAACCTCAAACCGGACTGAAAACTGTACATAAACCCCATCCCTAGCCCTAACCATTCCCCCTCCCCTCAAATAACATGATACCTAAATAGTCTCCATTGTAGTTCCTTTTTGGGGATACCTTATAAAAGCCTTAATATATATTTGGTTAAACCAAAAAAAGGAACTACAATGGAGACTATACGTAATCCTGAACTCCCAAACCTGAACTCCCCCCATACCCCTAAGCCGGCCTCAAGACCGGTGACAGCATTTTCCGAAACCTGTTTTCTGCCCCGGCCTTGGATGAGCAGCGACACAGAGGCGTCAAGAGCGAATTTAGGGTTTAGGGCTTATAGGGTTTGCAAGCCCTTTCTGCTGCCCATGATCATCTTTCGCAGATCCTTGGACGACGGGAGAAACACGGTTTTGCAATTGCCGAGCTTGTTTCCATTCAGTTCCTTCTATGAACAGGCACCAAGGGGAGTTGTGACCAAGGCTGTGTACGCTCGCTCACTTCAAGTAGGAAGCACGTCTATGTAATTATTTCCAGCCGCCTGAAATCGCACCTGCCCACCGGAAGCTTGCCATGCACCTGAAAGCTGTCGGCAGATTGCGTTGGGTTTGAGCCATCGGGATTGGTGGCTTTGCGTTGATTGTATGGCTATGTCCAAGGCCAATTGAATTATAACCATTGTCACGGTTGCCAGGGCTTACAGATTTTAGGATTGGGCTGTAGAGTGGCGGGACGGTGGGGCACCGTTTTCGCCTGTCGTTTGAACCTTGCTTTGGGGTGTTTGGGGCCTTCGGGCAAAAATAAAAGGCTACAGCATGGCCCGCCTAGTAAAAGTACAAACAGTAGTAGCAATAGCAGTTCTGATTCTAATGGCAAGAGCAAAGAGTACATGAGTAATAAAAACAATATTGCCAATAGCCTGGTGGGAAAAGTAACCTCATTTCAAGTGCGGCAGCGTTGCATGAGCACGCTGAGCCAGCACAACAAGTACGCACACTCAGGACAGCATCTACAAGCACGGCGCTGACAAATGGGCTACCTGGCACAAAATCTCACCCAGGCCACCGTTGCATTTAGAGTTTACTTGTGGGACCAGTTGTGCGCTTACTTGTGGGACCGGTTGTGCGAACCGTTATGGAATCCGGCCAGCTGCTAAACCTTGGGCCCTTGTATGCAACGCTTTCTCTCGTTTTCTTATTGTCCTTCAGGATCCCAGCCAGAGTAGCACATCAAGAACCACGTATTTAGGGTTTAGGGGCTCTACATGCGACGTGCTGCTAGGGGACTTGGTTGGGCGAGCTCAAAGCAAGCCTGTGTTAAACAGGGTAGAGCCCCCGAAGATGTTAAGAGCCCTGGACCCGACGGCCTCAAGCGGAAACGGCTTTCTGAGATTCGCGAATTGTGTCCGGCACATCCTGCACCCGCAGACCCAATGCTAAATGCTTCGAACCAATGACCAGTGCATCGCTTCTTAGTTTTCCTCTGAGGTTCACATAGAAGACCGGATCGTCGCAGCTTGATCGGAAAGATATAGCCTGTCAGACAGGTTTTGTCGCAGTTGAGGGTTTATGCTCTTCAAGATTCTTCAAGCATTCTGGTGAGTTCTGGTTGCAAAGCACTTCTTAGGGTTTCAGAAGCCAGCGAAGACAGCGAGTCACTGCGACCATTTATAGGTCGAAGCAAAGTCATACAGTTGTAGAACTGAAGGGGCTGGGTGTGTTTGCGACAGGGACGGGGTTCTGGGCATGCCCGGGTGCTATTCACGATGTGCATACCGATTCATGTGGGACTTTCAGAAAATTAGGGGTACCTTATTTTGGGGTCCTTATAATAGGGTTAATAGGGATCCTATTATTTGGGGTACTATATTAGGGTCCCCTATTTTCGAAAACCCCCATGCTGTTTCGAGTTCAAGGCAAAGCCGTTCGGAGGTGTCGCCGCAGCTGCTCGGGAATGTGTTCAGCGGCAAGATAGTCATCGGAAGCTTTTGCTCCACCAACCTTTGCATAAATCCTAGAGCCCCTAAACCCTAAACCCTAAACCCCAAAGAACCTCGCCCAGACATGTTCGAGAGTGAGTGCTGAAGCCCCAAAACCCTAAACCCTAAACTGCCCTAAACCGTGGAAATAGTGGCCTAAGGCGATCAACAGCGTACGTGGGAAGTCAGAGTTGCTGGAACAGCTTCTCGGGGCAAGTTCCAAGGTCTGCGGTTTCTCGGGGTCTTAGGATGCCGGGTTCAGAGTTTATGGATTGGGGCGTTCAGGATTTACGCTGCAGCTTTTTTAAAGGGAATGCGTCGAGTTTTCGAGCCGGGAAGTTGGCTCCGGGAGTGTTTGAGGCACGCAATTTGTCAGGTCTGTTCTTGTGAATCTCTTGTACCCAAATAGTATGTACTTTGGTGGCCTTAAAGTAGTCCCTATATAGGTACTTTGGGGCCAAAGTATATACTATTTGGGCACATGGACCCTTAGGGAATGTCATTTCGGAACTTCGGGGCTCGGGGTGTAGGGAGGGCTTAGGGTGCATAGAACCGGTGGCTGCGACTTACGAGACTCAAATGTTTATGCAGCGCTTTCGCAGCGCTCGTCCTGAGTAGCTGCTTGCAGTCCAGCTTAGACTACCCCGGCAGTGGGGAGCAGACACAAATTCGAAGTTTTACCACGTGGTGTACCTCAGTCACTGAACTGTGATATGCCTCATTACATTCTCGGGCTTCTCCCGTTCAAACCCCGTCTCAGTCCGAGGGAAATTATGCGGTCGGATGTGCCTCAGCAGCAAGGAAAATAGGGTGGCATAGCACCTTCGGTGCTGACGAGGTTGCCAGATCTTGGCAGAAGAGAGCACCACATTACTGTTTCCACTTAGCTTCTCTAGCCCTTTGCAGCTTCAGGCTGCCTTAAGGCTGCGCAACTCCCAAGATAGCTTGCAATTGATTGACATTTTGAGCCCTACCAACCTAGAAGCATGAAAGCCCGAAGCCGTGTTTGGAACCATGAAGGAGGGATCTTTGCCTCTCTGCATGAACGAAATCATTGCACATGTAGAGCCTGCGCAGTGTTCTAGTGCCGTCGATGTTCATTGGCAGAGCGGCAAGCAACGAAAGGGCGGTTGCCTGGACCGCAGAGCAAAGCCTTCACCTTTGGGATACAACACAAAGCTAGGAGCCAGAAACCGTCATTGCAGGTTCTGATTCTGGGGCAGACTCTACACACTTTACTTCAAGCAAACCCAAAACCGTAAAACGGCTAAATCCCCAAACACTAAACACCTTACAAGCCCCCCCAAAAAAGGGAGACATCAGCCCCAAGCCTAGCTCAGGAAATCCCTAGAGCTGCTTGAAGTCTTGAAAGCACTGCGCCGTTTGAACTGGCAAGTCCGACATCGTGAGCCCGGGCACCCACAACTTAATAAGATTTGCAACTTATTCTATTGTGCGCAACAACAGCAGCAACAACAACAACAACAACAAAGACAACGACGACAGCAGCAGCAGCAGCAGCAGCAGCAGCAGCAACAACATCAACTCCAGATCCGCGTGTCGGTGGAGGGATTTAGAGTTTAAGGTTTGGGGCTTCGGGTGTAACATAGCTCAAGGATTCATTAGTTGTTGAGTCAATGCTGACCCCAACCCTCTGCACCCTTAGTGTCTCGATGCTGCTGCAACCTCATCAGGTGATCCACATCACCCTGCAGCGTCCCAAGCCCCCACGCGGCGTGCATTACTTCTGTGTGGACCCGGTGTCTCGGTCCGGCCACAAGCTGGCAGGCTTGTGTTCTTAGGGTTTGGCGCTTCAAGGCTTTGAGGTTCAGGGCTATTTCTGGAGAGCAAATTTCGGTTGGAGGGGCTTTGGAACCGGTTGAGAGTGCTTTCGACCCTTTGTTCTGGGTCTGGGCAGTCTGCTTGTGAGAACATCTTCGTGTCTTCGCAACGTTGCTGGTCCTGCTGCTGCTGCTGCTGCTGCTCGTCCTCCGGTCCTGATGCTATGCTGCTACAACAGTGCTCCCGCCGCAACCTGCTGCTCCTATGACCAGAAGATGTTACGGGAGTATGGGGTAGTCCAAATACTCTCGACCCTGAACCCTGTATGCACCAGACCCCGAAACGCTGAACAGCCAAGGAAAATCCTACCGTCACCGTCCACGCCTACGATTTGCCGCTCGGGATCGAAGGATTTCTGTGCGCCGGCTGACCCCCACTTAGGAACCAAAGAGCCCAGAAACATCAACTGTTGAAACTACCTAGACCCCCTAACTGCCCTCTATTATCCCCCAAATACCCCACTATTAAGACCATAAGGTCTCTATTAAATGGCCATTGGGGGGTCCTGGTAACCCCACCTGATAAGCATACTTGATCTTTATAGGCTGTTAGAGGCCCTCAGTTTCAATGAACTCGCCTGTGGGCCAAGAGGCAGACTCTGAGACACACTCCTCGGGCTATGATGAGGGTTCCTTGGTGTTCTTCTGGTTGGCTCTTAGGACTTTAACTTTTTGGGTTTCTATATGAACTATGGGAAGGATGCTAAAAATTTAACTTTTAGGAGGGGTTCAGAAGTCAGCCAAGGTTATTGTACGAAACTGATTAATAAACCCTGGCCGTAGAACTTCAATATAGTAGGGTTTATGTAACAGAACTCTAGTAAACGCCAAGGTTCAGGGCCTATGATGCAACAAACGACTGCGAACATGCAAAACAGCAACTCACTGCCCGACAATTGAAACCCCAACCCCCAAACCCTAAAACNNACTCCCCCCCCCCCCCACCATATGAACCTCCATAGAAGCAATTGCAATTTACAACCCTGACGAACACCCAGAATGGAACAACTTGAACCGTTGCCTGTACTATTCTGCGAAGGGCTTCCTGTTGTACTTGCAGTTTACTATTCCCCAAGACCTTCTTGTAAGTGTTAAGGCCCCTTCGTAGAACCCAAGTTTTGTAGATACCTCATAAAAAGCCCTTACATGAACCCATATAGAACCCCCTAAAACCCTAAACCCTAAATGCATTCCCAAGTCTTCGCCTGAGGTTTGGCCACGGTAGAGGGCCTCTTGCCTGCGTGTCACGAGACTCGGCTGCTGTTGGTTAGGGGTCTGAATCCCTTATAGCTCATGTAACCCCGTAAAGATGAATGTGAATATGTATATATATATATANNCATGCATACATCCGCACATACATACATACATACATACATACATACATACATACATACATGCATTCATACATACATGCACATTACTCACATACACATATGCAAACATACTTATTATCTATGCCTGTATGTATGTATGTATGTATGCATGCATGCATGGATGGATGTATGTATGTATGTATGCATGTATGTGTATATGTATATGGCCATGTATATGTATATGTACATGTATGTGTATACGTATATGTAGAGGTATATGAATGTATGTATGTACGTAGGTCATGTATGTGTGTTTGTACACATGTATGCATGTATGCATGCATATGTGCATTATATATATATATATATGTATACAAAAATGTGTATACATACATATATTCGCTGGGTTTGGAGTACCATGCATCAACTATGTTTAGACCTGTTACTGTATTCTTTCTTCTGCCTAGTTGCTTCGAAGTCCAGGTTATCAAAACAGAAAAAAACCCCAAAGCACTACTGAACCCTGGGCCCTGGACCTCTTAGCCCTAACACAGCCGTGAAACACTTGTAGGTGTGGCAGTTGGATCCAGGATGTGCTGCCACATGTTACATGGTATAGGGTTCAGGGTGTGAGGAACTGGATGCTTCCAGGCGTGAACTCGGCAAGCCTGTGCAAAAAAAACGAACTTGAACGTTTGAGTCGGATATGAGTTGAACTCAGAGAATGGTGTGGCCCCTGTTCGAAGGCATACTGTCTTCTCTCAGCTCATCCTATACGCTGCATGCTTTCCTTGCATTGTTTTGGCAACGGTAGATGCAGCAAACTAGCAAGGAAGGGCTCGCGGATGTCTACGAGATGGTAAATGCCACCATGTCATGTTTCTTTCTCGTATGCACGTCCGGTGTTGCCATATTCAACTAAGCATTCGCTTGTCAGCTCCATCATGCTAGCCGCAGAGTTTGCAAGATCTTGTGGTCTTTTGAAAATTCTCTGATGTTGGGGTAGGTAACTCTCATCCCATCTCGAGTTCCCGGGGGTGGATAAGCGATCCATTCTGCCGCGGATCACTGGAGCTTTGGAAACATTCCCGCGAAGGAACGATCAATGCCGTCAGCACTCGCTTTGGCCTGTTCCATACAGGATGCTTGGACCTTCGGTTTAGGGTTTAGGGACTCTGAAACCCGCCCCCTATAGTCTGGGATTATTGCCTTCAGTAGTTTATGCTTAGGTACTGTATCGGGCTGCTCCATCTTGCCTTGCCTTTTGCGTGTTGACTAGACGGCTACATCAGGCTGACACTATGGCGATGCTTGTCGCAAATCTTATGCAGGGCCCCCTGCCTTCAACCCTAAACCCTCTCTTGGCGTCGCCTCCGTTCCCTTTCGGTAACCGTAGACTTTGAAATCCCAAAGTCTGAATTGAGTCCTCCATGACACGGCCCTAAATAAGCCCCAGAAGCCAAACTCAAGCTGTAGATGTCCCTAAACCCTAAATCAGTCGGAGATTTCGGTGGTCCAAAGCTCCAAGGATGAACTTGAGGGTGCTCAGGTTTGGCGCTTATAGCCCCTAAAGCCCTAAGGCCTTTAACACACCTTGCAGCCATGCAGGCCATATCAATCCGATGAATCAGTCAGCTAGGCAGGTGGCAAAGTCTCGCGTTTAGGGTTAGGGTTTCGGGTTTGTGATATCATGCAGTGTTGCTTCCCGGGTGATCAGCAGAGTCTAGGTTCATAAAAAAGTGTTGGGAGCAATGAACCAAACTCTTCGACGTCCAAAACCCCAAGGAAATCTTGACACAGAGTTCATCGACTGAAACATGCAAAATCTGCAGGGCCTGAAAACTTCAACCATCGACCCAGCACAAACCTCCAAAAGTCCAGAACCCCCCCCCAAAAAAAAGAAAACAAAAAAAACCTTCAGTCCCTGAACATCTCTGAACCCCTTCTTCTCTAAAGATGCCTTCCGAGGAGTGGAGGTCTACGGCCAGGAGTGGTACTTCGGAGCGAACATGGAAGGCGCCGATATGGGACTTTCCGAAAACAAGGGGTACCTCATTTGGGGGTCCTTATAAAAGGGATCCTATTTTAGGGTGCTATATTAGGGTCCCCTTTCTCGGAAACCCCCATATGGGGTTGGGCTCCCCTCCAGCTCTGCGCAAAATATGCAGCCACATGAATAGGGAGCCTCATATACACTCATCGAAGCCGTATTCCAAGCCCTACTTCATATAGTGCTAGGTTGAGGCGTTTCTTTATGGAAGGTTTGTGCTTTGGGTTTAGGGCCTGAGGTAGGCATCAGCTTCTGTGAGTTTCCGAGTCCCTGTAACTTGTAAATTCTTTACCGGGTTTGTTCGGAACTTACAGAATATCCTGCCAGACTCTAGCAGTTTGCAAGGTATGTCAGGAATCTTGCTTTGTAGTTGCATGAGCAACCTTATGGGACAGGGTTTTGATTTGGACCATGAAATCAAGGATTTCAGCAAGGGGTCCGAGGATTGGATCAATTGGAGCATCAGGGGTCTCAGGTCTAGGTTCCGAAGTAGTACCCTTTTGCCCTTTTTCTTTTAGGGCTCCCTGAATAAAACCAAATGGTAGGAGAAATGGTACCCTTATTACTTAGGGGCTACTGGGGAACCTAGAGTTAGGGGATCTCTTGGTTCGTGACAGTTTGGACGTCAGACTGCTTTTACTTGTCTGTCATGAGTGCATGCGATGCGGCACGTTGCTTGATGCTTCTCAAGTTCAGGGCCCTGTTTTGGAGGCCCTTTTCCTCAGAAGGGCTTTGCTCAGGGACCTTGAGAATCAGAACAGTATTGTAAGGGTTACAATATAGGCTTGTTGCTATTTGTTACAGGGGCTATCATAGTCTGCCGTTCCTTTAAAGCGTTTAGCACAGGGCCTTCAATAACTGATAGGTTAGATTGTGATGCAAAGAGGAACCCTCAGGAATCCAATTATCATAGTTTTTGCTTCGTTCTAGTAATCCTGATAGAACCCTTTTGAGGCACCCGGGTCTACCCTTGCAAACCCCTGAACTACGGCAAATAACTTGGGTTCTTTTCTGAAACTACCAGTAGTGGAGGGGACGCTGCGTTTAGGTTTCAGGGGTTATAGGCAGAGTCAAGGAAAAGCTTTACATCGCCCGTAAGATCATGAGGATTGTGCGTACTTAGCCTTGCGCGTCTCGCCACGAGTGCGATGTTCTGTGGGGGAAGCCGAGCGAGCTGCAGTCAAGCCTCTGTAAAGGGGTTTATGGGTTGTGGGGTTTGGGATTTCAATTTCAGGGTCAACCCATAGGCCCCATAGTAGTTCCTTTTTGGGATTACCTTATATAGGATTCTAAATATGAACCCCAAAAAGGAACTACTATGGGGCCTATGGGAAGGTTAAGGATTTGAGGATGTCCGGAATTCGCAGGTTTGCTCGGAGCTCAAGGTGTTTTGGATGATATTCCGAAGGCGGAAGCCAGCCCTATTGTCTCCCTGGCATGCAACTGTAAGCCTGGATTTCGGCACCTGCAGTTGGGAAAAGGCTTGTTTTGGAGATGGTTACATACACAACATCTGAAACCCACGGCCTTCCTGAAGGCCTTTTCCACGGGGTTCAGCCGATGGACCCCAAGCAGCACCCGGTGCACCGGTACCGCTGCTCTGTCCTTCGGCGCTGTCCGGGGGTTGGATTTCTAGTGGAGTTGTTGCGATGCGTTTTTAGGGATGTTTGCAGGGGCAGAACCAATTGGTCAAGGCAGGTCAGGCACGTCATAAACCTGTCCGCGGGACCAGCTGCGCTCCAGAATGCTTTCATACCGATCGCACCAAAGAGTCACTACATTTCTTGCATACTCCTTCTTGGCATCCAAGTGGATCTCTCAAGGAGTTGCGGCTCTCGTCATAAAGTTCCGTGTGTAGTTCGGGAGCCATTGAACGGATTTGGGACAGCGCCCCTCACATATCTTGGACAGTCTGCAGCTAGTAAGCCTCAGTTTTGCCGCCTCCTGGCTCACTCTCCATATATACCATTATACCATTGTAAAGCTTGTATCTACGCAGGCAGGAAAGCAATTGATTTAACGACCTAGAAAACGACGGACATGAATAAATACACAGTTGAATGAATACATCAGTTCCGCATGAATACAACCTTCCCATCCATGAATCCATCCATCTATCCATCAGCCAGCCATCCACCCCGGCCAGCCATCCACCCCAGCCAGCCATCCATCCGTTCACCCACCCATCCGCACATCCATCCATCCACCCATCTATACATCCATCCCTCAGACAGCCAGCCAGCCATCCGTTCACCCATCCATCCATCCATCCATCCGTCCGTCCATCCATCCTGGCAGCACGCCCTTCCTGCATGCACGTGTACATTGACAGTTACATGATGTTACTTGCATTCCTCGGTACATGCATTCTTACATACATGCATGAATACGAACATACCTAATCATACATACCCACACAACCATGCATCACCCATACATAGGTACATGCATACACACGTACCTACCTGCCTGCCTGTCTGTCTGCCTTCCTGCGGATGTACCTCCATAATACATACATACCTAAATACATATGTACATACCCACCTACAAAACCCACATACCGACACGTATACCTACCCATGCCCACATACCTACATACCTACATACCTACATACCTACATACATACATACATACTTCCGACAAGAGAAACTTGGTTCGAACCAGGTGATTCTGGGCAGGACGGAGGTGACGCCAGAGGCCTTTGAGGAGCTACTTCCGCCCAGCCGGCCTGGTTCAGAGGTGTACGGCTTGTTGGATCTCGGTGGGTTTGAGGACTTTGCGAAGGTTAGGGTTTATAGAATTTAGGGTTTCCAGGGTTTGGGGTCAGGAGGTTTAGGGCCCTTAGGGCTTTTAGGAATCAGGGATTTTTGTGTTTAGTTTACTTCTTGTTTTTCCATTTTGCTTGGGCTTCGGGTGTACCAATTCCATGTTGTGGAGGGCTTGGGAGTTTAGTCTTCGGAGTTTAGAGTTTTGGCGGTTCAGTTAACTATTTTGTTCAGGGACTTTGGGTTAATTACAAACCCTAAACCCTAAACCCTAAACCCTAAACCCTAAACCTGCCTTGCTTAGGGACTTCAGAGGCACAGGCCCTGCAACAGCAGTTCAAGCTCAGCAATACCAAGGGTAACAGCACGCTGAACTACGCCCTAGGCCCAGTAGTGGAGGAGGCATGGTTTGGCTTTTGGGGTGCTACAACTCTAGGTTTTAGGGTTTAGGGTTTAGGGTTTAGGGTTTAGGGCTCCTATATATTCGCAAAGGTTAACCGTTAGTCCCACTGGACAGAGAGTAAGCCCTGATACACTGATACTGGCACTAGCAGGTCCGGAGGCTTTCAGAAATCAAGAGGCTACAGCACGCCTTGGCAAGACTTAGTCATAGTACAATTTCATCAAAAACTTCATCCTACTTGCTAAGACCCCTAGGTTGGGCTGGAGGTTAGAGTTAGAGAGGTTGATAATGTATAAGGCGAAGCCGAGGAAGCATTTTGGCTTTAGGAGTGTTTAGGGTTTAGGGCGTCAGATAGAGATCTGCAAGCGATCGAGGGCTTGCGGCAGTTGAACGGACACATTCGGATATTTGTGGTTTGTCACGGGGTACTCGAGGCTGCATAGATTACAGTACGCTGAACTGTGGAACTTGGGGTACGCATGCCCGCAGATGTGTTTTTGTCTAATGTTGTTTGCGGGTTGTTGCCTGCTCCAACTCATGGTTGCCCTGTGGTATAATTACTGTGTTACATGCAGTTTTCTAATCCCACATGCCACGAATCCTCACATTGGCCCGTTGGCGAGTATCCCTCGAACTTGGAAGCCATAGTCCGAAATTGAACCCCACTATGCTGAATTCACTGGACATGTTTTCACTTGCAAGTTTCTTGCGACTGACACCCGTGACGTTTACCCCTTAACCCTAAACCCTAACCCCCCCCCCCCTACCACCACCACCACCACCACAAAGGCTGGTTCGGATGAAATGGCCTTCCTGGTCTTATCACGCAATGTCCCGGAGACATGGCGCCAATGCCAAGTCTTTTGTGTGGAGTCTACCCATAGGCCCCATAGTAGTTCCTTTTTGTGGTTTGTATGAAGGATCCTAGTAGGTAAGCCCAACAAGGAACTTCTATGGGGCCTCATCAGTAATCAAAGAATGAAGTAGTATCGGTCAAACCGTGCATGTAAGCTGTTTGTTTTGCAGATAGAGACCAAGGAACTGCCATAGCTTCTCGGCAACTTGGCCACAACGTCGGTTAAGGGTTGATATTGTAGGGTCCAGGTTTTAGGGTGTTTCAGGATTGGTCAAGTGAGAAGGTTCAAAGTTATGTTGTAAGGCCTGGCGATAAGCTGTGCATGGTGGTCGTGATAGGGATGGTGATGCTGACGGCGATGATGACGGTCGTCGTGGCTGTAGTTGCTCTGATATTTACTGTACGTAGATGAAAGGCAGCAGAGTTCAATTCCCTCCCCTCACGCCTATCATTCTGAATTACGGAGTATCTCAACCCCGGAGACCTTTGCAGCACATATCTCCTTCTTGTTGAATTTATTTAGGCAGCTCGTGACTTCATATTTCCGCCTTCTCATCACGAGCCCGTGACGGTGAGAAACGAGATGCTTTAGACGGTTCGGGGTGCTGAATGTTTAAGGTTAGATAGAAGTTTATGAGGTTGGGGGATTTTAGGGTTTCCGACGTATCCGTTAAAGCATGGAGCTAGGAACCACCCTGATGGTGTTCCTGTCACGGTCCTCTTCAACATGCACTTCGTAATCCACTGATCTGAGTCTAGATTTCCTCTTCTTCATGCCTGTCGGCGCAAGGACTTCTTCTGCCGAATGTTGGGCTTCCCATCTGCGCCGAAATTCGGGCTGCCGCGTGACAAGACAGCTAAGGACTTCGATCTAGTAGGTGTTATTCGGTCGAGGGCTCTGCTCATGGACGTGGTAGCCCAACAAAGGGGGCCGAAGGATTATCAACAAGCTTCCGGAGGGCTCCGCATTATAATGGAATTATGATACACCTCCAAACCCCTATAGTCCTTTCATATATTGAGACCCGGTTACGAAGAAGACCGAAGCCACGGCAGTCTTTGCACCCTGAGCCACAAAGCCCTTCGCCCACGTGAGTGTCGAGCCTGCCCATGTCATGCAAAAAGCCGAGAACAAGAAAGATAACACAACGGAATATAGATGAAACAGTTTTGTGCTTGATAGTCATGCAAGCGACGGTAATGGTGCGAGCAGTAATATTGAAACTGACAGTCTGTCTGTTGCAACGACGTCCCGGCCAGACGGCGCAAGAGTCCCTAACTACCGGTGTTTCCTGCAGCTTTTGTTTCGCATTGAAATCCGGAAAGCGATTAATGCTCTATTGTTTCGGCTAAGCTTCCAGCGAGCTTCTTCCCTGCTCGTGCTACGGCCCTCCAACCCAAACCACAAGACTCTACATCCTACAAAGCCTAAGTTTATGTTCCGCTCATGATTTAGAACCTAGAATATTGATGTCTAAGCCCTAAGTTTCTCTGAGGAATCATTGCTGCGGTTTGGCTGTGGTGACTAATTAAGCAATCTTGCCGTAAAGCTGAGAAAACACAACCTGAGGAGCCGATCCTGGCTCGCTTTCAACCATGCGGGATGTCAAATCCAACTGCCGCAACCCTCAACCCCGCTGTAGGGCTTTAGCGTTTAACACATTAAGGTTAGGGCTTTAGGGTTTAACATGTTGCGGTTAGGGCTTTAGGGTTTAACATGTTAAGGTTCGGGCCTTAGGGTTTAACATGTAAGGTTACGTGTTTGGAACAGCATAAGACACTCCCGAGTATATTCAAGCCTACCTCTTTGAGTAGCCTGTCATGCAAGCTCTAAGACCACGAATGCCCACATGTCGTCCAGGTTTGGGTGTGGTGACGAGCACCTGTGCATAGGCCGAATCTTCGAGTGTTCGGCAGACTTCAGCCGAGACTGTAGTTTGCCTTCGAGTTGCGGCGAAACTTCAGACAGGATACATTTAAGGCAGAGCTTTGCCATCAGCAGAAGGATCGCTGGACTGATTAAATGCCCCTGAATGCTGAAGCTTGTGCTTCTGCTCCAACATCCAACACCCCTGCACTTTGATAAGCTCGTATGTGCAGGCTTTTGTCATACATGCGTTCAAAAGTATTTGCTGCTGATGGAGGTGGTGGAGGTGCTGATGCCTTGCTGCTGCTGCTACTACTGCAGCCGTTATTGAACCGTTCTTGTTGCATTTGTGGTGGCGGCTGTCTTTTTTGTTCCATCTCGTGTTATGTAGTCATTTGGAGGCTGTGGTTGTCGAGCTTGTTGTTGCCGGGTTTGGGCACACGTCATGCTGCATATGGCGAACAAGTGTTTTGCAAGGTTCTCCTTGGGTCGTGGGCATAGGAACTTTGGTGAATATCCGCGTCCTTGCCTGCCTGACCAGCTTCGTCAGCATCAGACCGCAGGCGGCGGTGCGATAACGGATGCACGCTCCATGGTGTGGCCTGGCTGCAACATGTTTTCGCGCAGAGCTTCTACAGATTGCCGTGGTTCTTGCAAGCCCGAAACCCTGGCTTTCAGCAGCTCAGGATCGGTGGACAGAAGCGCTTGGTAAGACCCACCGACGTCCACACATCGTGCGTAGAAGAAAGGCAGGCGAAGATAATGGGTGCTGAATCACGAAGCCGCTGAAGCTTCGAAGTCCCAACCCTAAAAGCACCCCAGAAAAGCCACGTGCAACAACTCTAAAACACCGTAAACCCTTGAGCACGCTTAGACCCCCAACAGAAGCTTTTCTCCAACCTGCAAAACAGGCAAAACAACACCTAAGAAGCTTCACCTCCCCTTCGCACTGACAACTCCAAGCATCGCAGGCTTGGGTAGCAACCCCAAGCCGTGAAAACCTTGAAATACTGCTGTAGGGGCCATAATAATTAGATAGTAGTCCGAATTCCTGACAGCTCCTTGTTATTACAGTTATGCTATTGCTATTACCTATTACTATTACTATTACTACTACTAGTACTACTA